TTTTGTTATTTTTTTTAAGAAAATCATGTGAAATATATTATATACAAAAATAAGAAAATAAAGATATGAGATATATAATAATAATAATAATAATAATAATAATAATCATTTAATCTATTCAGAACACTACAGCACTTACAAAAATCACAACACACAGAAAATAACAAATTTAAAATTAAAATTAATTTAAATTAATCATCTAATTGTCATTGGGCAAGGCGGCCACATCAAGCGAATTCGCCGCGAATGCGCACAGTAGCGAAGTCGCCGCGAATGCGCACAGTAGCGAATTCGCAAACATGTGGACGTACCCTTATGTATTAGTAGTGATGTGCTATTGGTTTTTTATTTCATATCGATGTAAAAGAAATACAAGTATGCGCAGATAATTTAACGATGTTCACCTTGATAGTTTCAAGAGATAATAAATTCTCAAACGTTATATCATATTGCACAATACGTTATTCATCAACAAAAATTCCACTAAAATTCTTTTCATTAGTTACATTTTAATAATATTGAAACAAACAGCTTCGATGTTTTCGTTTAGAAATACTTAAGCAAAAGCACACGAAGCATGTAATTTAAGCTAACTTTGAAACTATGTGGTAAATACAAACTTAAACTATTGACACCAGACATCCAGAAAATTATTTTTTACTTATATTCCTGCTCAATAGTTATAATATTCTTAACACATTAAATGACATACGAATTTGGCCAGGTGACTTCTTAGCAGCGAACGTGTTAATGAAAGATTTGTATGGAGACTAGTATTTGTAAATATCAATGTTTTTCTAGTTATAACTATACCTTTGTGCGTCAACAGACATCAGGTTAACGATTTCTCCAACGGTGGACTCCTTTCTCGCGGCATTGGACATTCGCAGAGACTTTCTATAGATGGCGCTGGTGAGCGCGGTCCTTATTCTCATACCCACAAAGTACATTCTAGTAAAATAGTGAGCTAAAAACATCGTTTGTATCGACGCACAAGCTAGAAGGCCCACGGCGTACACGTAGCCCTTCCATACCGGTTCGTCGCCTTTAACGAATTCTATTAGAACCCTAAAAGATAATTTGTATTGATTATTTCATAGTTGCGTACATAAATATATTAATTTAATGTTTGTCTGCAAATGCTAAGACACTGACATATTTATATACTACATAATACCTAATACTAATATTATAAATACGAAAGTATAGATGGATAAATCGATGTTTGTTAGTTTCTAGCATAAACGGCGGAACGGATTACGATAAAATTTGGTAAAGATGTAGAGGATAGTTTGGAAGAACACATCGATTAGTAACTTTTTTTTTAAATTCCACGGGGACGAAGTCGCAGGCGAAAACTAGAAGTACATAATGTTAGTTATCGCTTAAAAGAGCTTTTGAATACCAAGGTAAATTGCAAATTTATTCAACACTAGCTTTTACCCGCGACTCCGTCCGCGTGGATTTTAAAAATAATAAAAACAAATGAAAAAAATATATAGCCTATGTGACTCACAGATAAATTCTTTTCTAGTGAAAATTTTTTGAAATCTGCCCAGTAGTTTTTGAGCCTATTCATTACAATCAAACCAACAAAGTTTTCGTCTTTATAATATTAGTATAGACAAACGCGGAACAGTTATAACTACACAAGAAATTATTTATAGAAAAATATAACAATAATCTTTACTACATGTAACAATATGGCTTTAGGATTCGCATTTTTTATTAAAACTTACTTCAACAGTTGAGGGGAGAGGAACATGAGGAGATCATTGCAGAGTTTCAGCAAGGCACCGAAAAGGAACTGCCCTCCGAAGGCGAGACACAACGCGGGCAGAATCGAAGCTGGTTTCTTCTCATTTTCTGGCTTGAAGTTAACACTGGCCGATGTCTTGCTGTATGTTGCTTTCGTACCATTCGACCTAACAAAACGTCGCATTGAATGGAAAATTGAAAAACTATTAACTCACTAACTAATTATTATTTTACGGCTCTTACTCACGTCATAATTTTTACTCTAAACTATTAACTCTTTCGTTCTTTTACTAGCTAATTTAACATTTTTTATTTTTTTTCCTTTCTTCTGATATTGTCTCTCAATAAAACTCAATATTATCATGACCTACATCTTTTCTATCAAACATCAAGACATACTTAATTAAAGAAACATTATGTAAGGTTTATACATACATTTCCCTTTTCTGTACAATTCGAGCCCAGTATTTATCGAACCTGGGCACAACTTCTTTGGACGAGTCCGGTGGATTAAGAGCCCAAAGGTCGGATTCGGTTAAACTACGTCGGAATCCTGTGATCGCGAGGGGATCGAACCAACTGAATGTGAGACGGCTAGGGAAACCAGCAGCGCCCTCTGGACATTGGTTCTGGTGGAGAAATACAAATCAAACATACCATCGAATCGTTGCATTTAGTCATGTAATGGACCCCTTAGCGTAGATTTATTACCAGAAGCGAATATATAACAGTAACCATTACTGTATTCTGAACGTAACGAAGTGTTACATGTATTAAATAGTATGCGAGTCAATCAAAACATATTAAAGTGAAACTAAAATTTTCGTTGTTATAACTATGGTTGTTTTCAAATTGCATGGATGTTAAACAACGACGCATAATGCATATTAAAAACTTATCACTTTAATTATTTTGCTGGGAAACTTATACATGTAAGACTGAGTATTAGATTACATGTAATAGTGAGATTTCAACCAAGCCTGACGATATTTTTATCCGTAATATTTAAAGATGAACCATCTATTTGAATACATAAATGTAAATCAATACCTTTACCTTCTCATATTTATATGGCGTGTCTTTTGGCGGCAAATCGGCGAAACAATTCAATACGAACATCAAAATGATCATAGGGTAATATATCATGTAACTGACAAAGTTATATTGTACATTTTCATCATCCATCAACTTATAATGCGCTACTACTTCGGATCTAAGTTGTGGTAACCCTGCCAGGATTAGAAGTAGCCAGAAGAAGAACAAAACACCTGAAGCTCTCATACCAAACTTTCTATTATAATATAACAAAGTTGCTGAGAGTGCCTGAAAACAAAATTACAGTTTAATGGAGTTAACACCAGTACATACTCTGTGACACCGTACAATAATGAATACTGACTGTTTCTAATCTGCCTACGCAAATTGTACAATATATGGAAACTGATACGATATATGAAACTGATGTGTTACATTTTGATACAATACTTTAGCTTCGCAGAAAAGCCATCAAATCAAGTGTGTGTCATTTTAATAAAATGACAAAAGATAACATGTCACTTTTTGTATTTGTCTTTTACAATTTGCCTCGGCAAATTACAAACTGGCGACATTTACGATCAGACCGGGACATATCCATAATGTAGCAGTAGTTATGGAGTTTTTACAATCATGTGAGTCTAAACAACGCGATGTTCGCCACGTTTCTGAGAAGTATAGACAATAGGTTGCCACAATCTGCTTGTATTCTTTGATTTATTAATCTTTTCGACTTGTATACTGGTTGAAGTGCTCAAGCACCATACACACATATTTAATCAAGAAAAAAAAATACATTTCTCACTTATGAACTTTATAAGAATATAAATGACTATGTTTCTAGACAAATAAATAAGTGCAGCTTAGAATATGAGAAAAATATTTAAAAATAATAACTTTGTATCATTCCGAATACGAGAACCGTGGTAAATTGGTAAAGAAACCAAACCAGTATTTCATAACATTTCAAGGTTAACAACATCTAAGACATCCGTTAGTGTCTTTGAAATAAAAACATCTCAATAAATACACTCAGTGAAGTGCATGACTAATAATTTTTGATAAAAAATCTATATTCTTGTAACCGTCAATTTCCACTGCCGAAAATGTGTACAAAAACAAATTATCTATACAGTTTTTTCAAGACAATTAAGAGGCAGTGTATAACCATGGTTGAATAAACCACTCGTAGTATAACGGGCGCTTTGCGTAAGCAATTACATTTTTTGAAAATTCTATCTGGTTTTTGTATGTTTGTGTATGTTTTTCTGTTTTTGAAATATTCTATGAATATATTGATCAAACCAAATAGGACAAAAAATTTGAACATTTTTCGTACTGTATAAGAGGTAATTCCAAGGTATTGAACATAGTAAAAGTTACAATATAAGACAGTAATCTTACACAGGCTGTAACCTATTTATTCTCTTACATTTATTATAATGAAATCTAAATTACACAACAAACACATATATCAAACTGTTAAATAACAATTACTTCTCCAACTGGAGATTAAAACTACACATGGAGCAAGGCAAGACATTTTAATCACTACTGACAAATACGAAAATAATACTTGTTGATACCTCTACAAACAAGATAATATACAATCTTTTGTCTTAATATAAATGATAATAAATGAAATCAAAGCTACTTACAAATGTGAGTATCTTGATAATGGGACTGTAATAATCAGCGTTGAAAACCTCCTCATCTTTTGAAGATTTATGGACTGTCACACCCAAATCCACGAATTTTAACACAATAAGAAGACAAGTTATAACTAATTTACTGATATTAAGTATATTCCATGGTATATTTCTTTCCTTGCTGTTTAAAATGTAATAAGTATCTAATAAAGCTGCGACCCATAAAAAGAGACAGGGTGTCCAAACGAGAACAGTCTTCTCGAAGCATGGTGTAAATTCTGGATTATCTGTGTACCAAGTTAAGTTACTATCCTAAAAACAAAGAGTAAACCATTAAAAAAAACATAAAAAAAAGTACAGCCACTAAAATATCTGTAGTGAAGTGGTTGGAAAGTATTTCGCGAGCAGAATATTTATGGCAAAGTTGGTGTTTTTTACAGAAGGGTAATGGACTAAATTTATTACACTCTTTATTTAAGTTTTTTATTTCTTCATTGTTCATACATGATTTAAATACTGATTTACATAATGTTTGCTTTGAAAAATTTTCATTCATTCCTAGTACCGCCAAAACTATTCTTCATCAACATCACCATCATTAGCCTTTGTCTGCCCACTATTGGATATAGACCTTCCCCAATACCCACCACCGAACTATTAATAATATAATAAATTCAGCCAAAGTTCTGGAGAACTTGAAACACTGAAGTAAATGATACCAGGTTTAAGTAACTTCGGGTGTCAAAAAAAAATGGTGGGTCTAAATGACCTGAATGAATTAATTACAAAACCTTCCAGATCCTTTGCACTAATCATGCAATTCTATTTATAGTCACTTGTAAGTTTTGGAAAGTCATGATGACCACATACTGATAGGAATAAAGCTGTGACCAAATATCATATTGATAATTTTTTTTATATCATAAAAATAGATGGATGGTTTAATTTTTTTTAAGCATTCCTATTTTTTTACAGGCAGAATTGTAAACAAGAGTCAACTTTATCATAGGTAAAAAACTAATACTGAACACAAATTAGATTTTTCACAATTTATTTTTGCATTTTACATTTCAATTATTAATAATTTCACCCAGAGTTAGTTGAGTTTATAAGTCACTTTTAACTAAATTGGGTAAACTCATGTTTAAATTTCTCCGTTTAAATATTTATGTGGCATAAATTAAAAGCAAAGTTAAATAAGTAATATAGTACAGAATCATTTTTTTTGTTGGATAACATCAAATTTATTATAATTAAGAGGGCAAAATGAATTATATGTTATTGTGAGGCAATAATACAACAAAAAAATTAAACACGACATGGGAAATCACAGGCAAGAAATTATAGAAAACGTCTCAAGTTTATTGATGGAGAAAAAATAAAATAGTGATTTGTAAAAAGTTTGTTGAAAGCACCAACTTTGCTATAACCTCACTAATGAGTTTTTGGAGCTTCATAGCTTACGCATAATAGTAGGCAGGGAAGTAGCCAGGGTCAAAGACCTACTTACCCAAAATGTAGAACCGCAGAAGTCATCAAGGGTAGAATTATAAGACATTATCACGATTATGTTACAACGTATCACGTCTCACTTAAAAGTTATTTATTGAACATAAATTTGTTCGGCTTTATAAGTTTATCAGCATCCTTTCGCCGCAATCAAAATACGTTCACTAATTTTGTCTCACATATATATGATTTTATACACTTAATATTTGAAGTTTAAAGGTCGGAACATCTTTGCACATGGTTATCAACGGATACTTTAACGTCAACTTTTAAGGTTACAACTCCATCCAACAAAAATACCATTCGGTTTAAAACGTTCAATCTCCGGTATTCCGGTATACACATCCAAAAGGCACTTCACCACTCCGCCACCACAATTCGAAAGACTTGAATTAAAAACCTGTCTGAAAATAGGCCCGTCCTACCGTTTTCAAACAGTTAATAAATAACAGTTACGAATCAAACAGTTAATTTTATAGCATATTATATTCTTACGACAACTTTTATCTATAATGTTGTTTAAATTCACATTTTTGAGATGTTATGCTTATAAATAATCTATATAATGTAATTAAATAGAAAAGGTGATCTAGTTTTTAGTGTTTTAAGCTTTACATATTGAAAATGGAATGTTTTCAACTCAAGTAACGACAATGAATTTTGCTTTATTTTCCTTGTAAATTCTAGAGGTAAGTACTTATGTTCGATGTAGGAGTTAGTAAGATATTTAAAAATTAACAAACAAACGAACATTCAATTCAACGGATATTTTAGCTGAATATTTATTTCTGTTAACTTGCATACAAAAGCTGTTATATTGTATTTATGGTTTCGTTGATCGGCAATTTCCATAGATACAGCGCATATTCTGTGACGAAAATGGCGTCAATTGCAAGTTTGGCAACTAGGTTTTTAAAGTGACCGAGTCTATACTATTATTGAAAAATAACTTTTCCAATGTAAAATATAGGATAAATGACTTAATTTACTTAAAGAATAATTGTTTTTACAGGTCTATAATATTTACTCATAAGTCCTTGTGGGTAAACAAATAGTGAAACAAAGTTTGATTCTTTTGAAAACTAAAGAATGGCTGAATATTTAGCCGCTATCTTTGGTACAGAAAAGGATAAGTATGTAAAATAGTCTTGCTAAATAAATATATCTAATAAATAACTTCTTTCTCTGCTTTAAATTGTTATTAAGTATTCAAAACGAATAAATTGTATGTAATGGAGGTTATATTTAAACAACATTTCTGTGACAATTTCGGATTGAGCTAAAATTTGATTCAAAAACAGATAATTTTTGAATTACATAAAAACCGAAGTCTAGGTTTCATTACATCATTTGGCCGGTTTTTAAACTTCAGATTATAACCTAAAAATAATATGTAATACGAATCTGTTTGATTTTCAGAGTAAACTGCTCCTTTTATTTTAAAATAGGAGCATGTAGGCATGGAGATCGTTGTTCCCGTATCCATAATAAACCAACGTTTTCCCAAACGGTTTTATTACAAAATCTTTATGTCAATCCTCAAAATTCTGCAAAATCTGCTGATGGCAGTCACTGTAAGTAAATTCATAAAACACATGTTATTTTAACAATGTAATACTGTAGCATTTAATAAAACTGTAAGATTAACATTACTAAGTATTGAGTAGAAACATACAAAGTATTGTGTGAAAGCTACAAGATCAATCAAAGCATCCTGTACATTAACATTATCCACCACAAAATTTGTCATTTATAAAAATGGTCTTCAGAGGTTTTCTAGAGACAGTATTTAGAGATTTGATTATCAGATTATTATGATCTTAAAAAGTCTATTTCATATTTCATACTTTGATAAGTATGAATTAAAAAAATGATTATTTAAGTTTGATAACTTCACTTATAAAACTCACTACACATCTAAAGTTGATGTATGATTAAAACTGTAGGTAAACTTTAATTGTACAGTTCAACTGACAATTAAAATTTTTCCGACACCAACAGTTTTAACTACACAGATAAAACTCATGGTTTGTCGCAAGCTTTATAAGTGAAGTTGTGAACTGTAGAGGTCAACTAAAATTGTTTAATATTTATGTTGTATTACTTTTACATTTTCAGTGGTTGTTGCAAATGTTTCCGATGAAGAGATGCAGGAGCATTATGATAATTTCTTTGAAGATGTTTTTGTTGAATGCGAAGACAAATATGGAGTTATTGAGGAAATGAATGTTTGTGACAACTTAGGAGATCATTTAGTGGGAAATGTTTATATAAAGGTAAGGTCTAAAACATTTACACTATATGCTTATTTCCTTCAATTTCTCTAATGTTGCTTATGTCAGTGGCCATTGGTGACTATGTGCGTCCCATAGCTCTTTTGCCCTCTTATAATTAAAAAAGGTTGAAAATCACTATATGTGTGTTGTTCAAAGACAATCCCAACATTATTTCTAACATATGAGATAACTGCTTTTTCACATTTATAACATTAGTAAGAGAATTCTGAATTTCTGTTTCTTACATTACAAGTATCACGTCACTATTGTGTAATGTTTGTGTTACTCAGTTCCGGCGTGAGGAGGATGCGGAGAAGGCGGTCAGTGATCTGAACAACCGCTGGTTTGGTGGCCGACCAGTGTATGCTGAGCTATCCCCGGTGACAGACTTCCGCGAGGCCTGTTGCCGCCAGTACGAGATGGGGGAGTGCACGAGAAGTGGTTTCTGCAACTTCATGCACTTGAAACCTATTTCCCGAGAACTTAGGAGGTAATTTGTCAATCATATACATTTACGTTATACGTTTTTATTGCAAAATTTAATTGAGGCTAATTAGGTGTCTAACACCTATGTGAAACCAGAAAATTCATGTGAATGTTGACCATTGAATAGTTTAAAGCACTGACGGACAATTTGAAACAAATCTCAAACACAGTTTCGTAAAAGCAGCTCCTCTGTTAAATGTTAAAATTATGTGGGAATTTAAGTATGCCCTTATCATTTAAGACGCTGTTACATTGTATGTTGTTTCAGTATTAAGACTGTGAGATGCTTTTTAAAATATTGTTGTTTAAATGCCATATTTGAGTGTAATTTTGAATTAAAATCCGCCAGGTATCTGTACTCGCGCGGCAAGAGCGGGCGTCGTTCCCGCAGCCGCTCCCGCGAGCGTCGTCGTCGTTCCCGCTCCCGC